TGCCCTGGAGCCCTCCTGCAGTCCCTCCCCAGCTGGCCAACCTCCTGCATCCCTCCCCAGCCCCAATCCTGCACCAGTGGGGTCCCTCAGCCTGGTCTGCGCCCTCTCATAATCCATGCTAAGGAACCCCTCCCCCAAGTACATGAATTTCATGCACCAGGCCTCTAATTAACATATAAAATACAAGAGAATCTACAAAGTACATACTAGAAATAATAAGTGAATCTAGCAAGCTCACTAAATATAAGGTCAATACATAAAAATCTATTATATTTCTACATACCACCTATAAACAATTAGAAAATGAAATTTTATAAAAATACCACTTACAATAGCACCAAAAAAAACCCCTAGAAATAAATCTAATAAAAGATGCACAAGGCTTCTACCCTGACAATTATAAAACATGGTTGATATTAATTAAATAAAACTTAAAATGAAGAGATATGCCATGTCCATAGATTAAAAGACTCAATATTATAGAGGTGTCTGTTCTCCTCAAACTGATTCAATGCAATTCTATCCAAGCATGCAGATTTTTGGGGGTAGAGTTTATAAGCTGGTTCTAAATGTTATATTGAAATAAAAAGGATCTAAAATAGCAAAAATAATTTTAAAGAAAAACAAATCTGGAGTGTTCACACTACCAGATATCAAGACTACAAAGCAGCAGGAATTAAGACACTATGACACCGAGATAAGGACAGTCACATAGACCGTAGAACAGAACAGGGAGTCCAGAAAGACTTGAGCATCTGTGGTCACATCATTCACAACAAAAGAACAACTGCAATTCAGTGGAGGAAAGTGTTGTCCTTTCAATAAATGATCTGGGCCTATTGCTGTCCATAAAGGAAAACAAAACAAGACAAAAATCCTGAATTTACATAATATACACAAAAATAATTTGAGGTAGATCATGGACCTGAAAGTGAAAGGTAAAACAATAAAGCATCTAGTACAGAATATTGTATAATATCTTTAAAAAATATATATTTTATTGATTTTTTACAGAGAGGAAGGGCAAGGGATAGAGAGCTAGAAACATCGATGAGAGAGAAACATCGATCAGCTGCCTCCTGCACACCCCCTATTGGGGATGTGCCCGCAACCAAGGTACATGCCCTTGACCGGAATCGAACTGGGAACCCTTCAGTCCATAGGCCGATGCTCTATCCACTGAGCCAAACCGGTCAGGGCTGTATAATATCTTTATGAACTTGGTAAAGCTATCTTAAATATGACCACATAAAACATTATCCATAAAAGAAAAGGCTAAATTGGACTCCATTAAAATTAAGAATCTCTGCTCATTCAAGGGTACCATTAAGACAAGCCACAAACTTGAAAAAGATATTTGCAATACATATATCCAATAAAGGACTCAATAAATCAGTAAGATAAAGACAACCTGATTAAAAGTTGGGCAAAAAAACTTGAACAGGCACTTCACAATAGAGGATATCAAAATGAAAATAAGTATCTGAAAAGGTATGTAACTTCTATAATAATAAAAGCGTAATATACTAATTAGATTGGACATCCTTCCGGACGACTTTCTAGATGAAGCCACGGCAGCGGGGGCCGGGGCAGAGGCCGGCAGCTGCTGCGGCAGGTGGGGGCTGAGCCCCTTGCACAGATTTCATGCATCGGGCCTCTAGTTAGTTATAAAGGAAAATGTAAATTAAAACCACAGTACAATATGATTTCACTTGTACCAGGGTAGCTAAAATAATAAAAACTGGCAGTACCAGGTACTGGTAGAAATGTGGAACAACTGGTACAATCACTTTGAAAAGAGTTTGGCAGATCAACTGAAGTTAGGCATATATACAACCTGTAACCCAGCAATTCCACTCTTGGTACATACCCAACTAAAATCAATGCTTGCACCTATGGCAGTTTTACTTATAATAGCCCAAACAGGAAATAATACACATGTTCACTAACAGGAATTGGTAAGTAAATTGTGGCATGTTTTTATGATGAAGTACAATGAAAAAAATAACATATTACTGCTACCTAAAATAACATGGCTGAACTTTATGCAGAAAATCTTATGTGAAAGTAGCCAGACACAAGAAGACATACTGTATATTTCTGTTTATATGAAATACAAAAACAAATAAAATTAATCTATGTGGCAATGGAAGTCAGAATAGTGATTACCATTTGGGGGTTTTCCCTAGAAGGAAACATAAGAGAGATCCGGCATATCTTTGGTAAAAGTTTGTCTCTCAGGGTGTTAACTGCCTTTTCTTCAAGTTTCCTCCCTGTCATCTTGCCCATCTGAACTGCCTCCAAGAAAGCCAGATTCCAGGTGCCATGGTGCAATGCTTTATGTGAGCAAAAGTCTGAGAATCTGTCTAAACTGGACTTGGGCACCAGAGATTATGGTGCTGCCATCACAGCCTGCCCAGTGGAGGTCATGCCAAACTAGGCTCTCTCCCTGGGGTAACAGAGACACGCCTGTAGTGTTACAAGATGAAGCAACTGTGGCAGCAGCAAGGACTCTCCACTGAGCAAGCAGCAAAGGCCTAGCCAGCAGGGAAAGCCAAGCACCTAAACTGGGTCCGTCACACCAGGTGACCCTATCATAGGCAACTGCGGGAGCTACAGCCCAACAAGAGTTTAGAGCCCTCAGAAGTGAAGGGTTGAGTTACAGCAACAGGCAAACAAACAACACAGATCAGCCAAAATGCTGACTAAAAGAGGGAGATTGGTGATGAAGATGAAGGAAGGAGGAAATAAATATCTATAATGGCCTTGATTCACGCTGTAGCATTAGGCACGACCATTTATTTCAATAACTCTTGCTCTAGGTTTCTCAGGAGATTGCAGTTGGCCACCACCTGGAGGAGAATCTATGAATGATTGGACCTGTACTTTCTCTCAGGGTATAAGTGAAACTGCTTGCACACACACACACACACACACACACACACACACACTAACCCAAACTCTACATTATAATATTGGAGCTGGACATGAAGGAAGGGTATGAGTGGATCTGAGCAGTTCAAGCAATGAGTTGTATTGGACTCGTCTCCTGGAACCTCCCTGGGCTTGGCTTCCTCTAATCCAGTGGTTCTCAACCTTCCTAATGCCGCGACCCTTTACTACAGCTCCTCATGTTGTGGTGACCCCCAACCATAAAATTATTTTTGTTGCTACTTCATAACTGTAATTTTGCTACTGTTATGAGTCATAATGTAAATATCTGATATGCAGGATGTATTTTCATTGTTCGCGATCCACAGGTTGAGAACCGCTGCCTAATCTACTGGATCCTCGGTCACTTGCTCCACCTCTATCACTACACACTCCTTGCAGGCCTGAGTGGTTCCACTGCCAGAGACCAACCAAGCACCACTGGGAATCCTTGACTCCTTGTACACCACAGGGCACGGGATTTCTCTGTACAGTAGCTATTTGAAAGACTGGATGGCCCAGCCAGGAAGTTCAGGGAGGTTGATCACCTGTAGGATATGAGAAGGAGGCAAACACTTTCCCTCCCTCCCTCCAATGGACTGTCCCAAGGCATGGTTTCTTTGTATATATAGCCTGTTAGGAGACATCCCAGATGGCAGGGCAGGTGCACCAGCAGGTTGATTTGCTGGGTTTCTTCATTGTACCCCAATAGTCTCTTAGTAACACTTTATCTTTCATTGCTTCTCAGCCTTCCCTGACTCATTTCCCCTTTCCCTCATTCTCACTGCTCTGGGAACAGACTCTCAAATCATTAACACATAAGCTTGCCTTATGTTTTTTAGGGAACCCAGGAAAGATACCTGTGGTTGGGGGTTTGAGATATTTTAGAATCTAAAAATTTTATATCATATGCATAATAAATGCATACATTTATTGAATAAATTATTTTTATATAAAAGCATTTTAGGATTATCTGGACAAACAACTTTAAAATTGAGTACATCCACTCTATTAAATGCTTCACTTTTGATTGCTTAAGTATTATATACTTAAGCAATAATTATTAGTGGTAAGTAATAATTTAATTTTTATGAGCCAATGTTAACAAAAAGGAACAGACAAGTTGAAACTGATGCTTAGCATCCTGTGAAGACCAAATAAAGTGATGGGATGAAGGGCTATTTCAAGTAATCTGAATACTACAGGAAAGTGGTGAACTAATTTGATTTTTCATCTAAAGTTTGGCAAACTTCAATGAATCTAGGTAGTAGCTGGCAGCCCATAGTTCATGTTCTGAGAGACATTTAATTTCAGTAAAATAATGGTGTTAATTTGAATTTCAGTAAAATAATGTAATATTGCTAATTTGAATTTTATTGAGCAATAGAGGTCTGATGAGAAAACTTGAGTTTGCTTTGCACAGTGATATATAAATTTTTATCTATTCTCACAAATAGGAAATATTCAATAATATCTATGTTGTTTGCTAATGCTTTTGGTACAAGTGGACTATCTAAGGAAGCACCAAGAAGTGCTAAGGTTATGTCAAGATCGATGAGGATAAAAATGACCACATTGAGGGATAACTGGATATAAGACTCACACTTAATGAATAGTTACTGTACGCATAAAACAGCCAGGCCTCCCCGGGGCAGGCAGAGGTGGGAGGGTGACCTTGTGTGGGCCAGTCTCCCTGGTTGGGCAATCATTTATAAGAAGTAAACATCCTTCAGTGGCTAAGCCGCTTGACACCTGTGAATCCTTCTAGGGAACCGGATGTGGTCTTCCCACCCTTTCCCAGCATCTGGCAAAGGTGAGGGCAAGGCTAATGATCCTCTCAAACAAAATATTTAAAGTACACAAAATTTAAGACTAAGGCATTGTTCCTCATATTGGAGACAAATGCAAAAGTGAAACAATTTTGGGTCCAGGGGTTAAAGTCTGGTGATAAACCACCTCTGATAACTTGGGAAAATGTGTGTCTCTCTAGTCATATAAATAGGGGTAAAGAAGGATGCCTCTAGAACCAAAATTTTTCCAAGAGAATAATCACAGGGAGATGTGTAGTAATGGGGCCATTTAAGAGTTCTGTTTTCATCTTGGTCCTTCACCTTCTGGAAGGGGCCCTGAGCAACTCACTCATTCAGCTGAATAACAACGGCTATGAAGGCATTGTCATTGCAATTGACCCCGATGTGCCGGAAGATGAAACACTCATTCAAGAAATAAAGGTAAGGTGGAAACGGTAACTACCCAGGCTTTAAACAATTTAAGTGTAATGTGTGGAGGGCAAGCATGAGTTCTCTAATGCATCTGTGTGATATTGGCAAAGTATTTTTATGTCTAAGTCTCAGTATCTTTGGTTGCAAAATGAAAATAGAATAGTTGACCATTAGGATTCTTCTTAGGGAGAAGATAATAAATGTAATGCACTTAGCTAAGAGTTTCATACATTGTTGGCGCTTAATAAATGATTTTCCGCATTTATTGATTGGGGATGATTCCGCTAGGGCAGAGCCAGTGGTATTTGGTAGATATTGAGATGTCCAGAGAATAATTCCTTTGCCTGGCTCATGTTAGATGTCTCCTTGTGTTCTTCTAATTACAACTCTTTTCTCTGTGATTTTAATAGAGAAGCCCAGGATACAAACCTCTAATTTAAGAACAGCCCTGATCCTTTCAATGAGAGGAAACTCTGCATTTTACCAGCCCCGATGCAAGGGATCCTCTTAGATTGCTGAGCGGCCTTGCCTTACTTATTACTTCTTCTCTGGGGGAAGGAAGAACTAGGGAGGAAGACACTCCCTGTCTAGGGCAGAGGGCCTAACTGTTATAAGGTGGAGAGGTCATGTACAACAGCAAACAACTAAGAATAAGAGGGAAATGCCTTATAGATAACCACCCGGGGATCTGGCTGTAGCACATCCAGAGGCAGTAGTGTGTAATGAGGAAAAGTACTGGTGTGTAAGATGGGGCAATAAGCTTGGCGAAGGGTATGTGGGAACTTTGTACAATTTTTGCATGTTTTATAAGTCTAAAATTATCTTGAAATATGGTAAAGAACTTTAAAAATGCATGCATAGCGTCTGGCATGTAGTAAGAGCTCAATTAATGGTAGGCATAACCATAATTCTTTTAGATAGAAAGGGTTCAATTTTTTAACCAAGCCAAAGTTCCTGAGTGTGAGCCCAAAAGTTAATATCACAAGAGTTCCATCGGTTGCCCTCAAGTGTTCCTTGCTCTGAGCAGAAACAAACCCAGAAAGATGGAGTTTGGAGAGAGAACCAGCTCTACCATCTGGAGGAGTTTGGGGCTGGAGAACCGCAGTAGTTGAGGAAGGAGGGGGATCTTATCTGTTTAACCTGTCAGATACTACTGCTACTGATGAAAGGGAAAGCTTTACCTTTTGAAATCTCTCAACAATCAGATAGCTTGGGTAAGTTTTTGATTGCATCTAACCTTAGAAATGGCATCAGCAAACATGAACGTGCCCCTTGGAGCAACAGACAAGGAAAGTGTGGGAGAAAAAATATAGCCAACAAGTTTCTGTCTCTGGCTAGACAGTCAGGAATGTGCCAGAAGAACATAAATTCCTTACCCAGAATGGCAATGCTAATGCACATTTACATGGTGCTTTAGAGCTTCCAGACGCTTTTACCTCACTCTTGGGGGTTTTCCTCCTGAGAAATCTACTTCTTATCACAATTATTAAATTGGTTTTCTGGTATGAGTCCTACTAAATGAGTTGGGTTTGAGATAAGTTGGTTTCCACATATTGTAAAGTATATGATGGTCTAACCACTGTGCTATACACCTGAAACTACTACAAAGTAACATTGAATGTACACTATAATTGAAAAATAAAATTAAAAAGTTAAGGGCAATAGTGTACTCAGAACCCCTAACTAAGTAGTTAATAAAAGTGAGTTCCTTACTACTAAGGTTCAGCTCTGCAGAGTTAAGGACCTTAATTGTGACCTTGTCTGCCTTTCCTGGCCATCCCTCACTCTGTTTTCTGAGAGGAGACTCTCCTCTGGTGCTCTTGTGGGAATAGAAGCCTTTAAGTCAGCTCTTAAATACTTGCTTCTGTTCAGGGCATTATGCTAAGTGAAATAAGCCAGTCAGAGAAAGACAAATACCATATAATTTCACTCACATGTAGAATCTAATGAACAAAATAGAAACAGATTCATAGATGCAGAGAACAGACTGATAGCTGTCAGAAGGGAGAGGGACTGGGGGGCTGTGTGAAATAAGTGAAGAAATTAAGCAAAAAAAATAAAACCCTCATAGACACAGACAACAGTGTGGTGATTACCAGAGGTAATGGGGGGATGAGAACAGAAATGTACACTTGAAACCTACATAATTTTGTTGACTAATGCAACCCCAATAAATTTAATTTTAAAAAATTGAATGACAGTCCCTAAGGTTTGTCCACCTACAAATTGCATCCACTGCAATTGCCCTGTCAGTGTGAGTTGTAGAGGCAGAGAGAGCACACTCCATAAAATGAGAGAGTGAGAGTCAGGAAGAAACACTCTCTGTGTCTCTGTCTCTAAAACTCTCTCTCTCTCTCTCTCTCTCTCTCTCTCTCTCTCTCTCTCTCTCTCTCTCTCTCACACACACACACACACCCACACACACACACACGATACACAATGGGAGCAGTGTATCTTGGAGGTATCCTCAATGTATGTGGGTCCAGGAACCTCTTTTCTTGGCACTCCTGGACAATTTGCCATTCATCACAACCATTTCATTCATTCATTCATTCATTCATTCATTCATTCATTCATCCAACAAATATTTACAAAGCTGGTACCAGAGGAGAAAGGGACCATTTCTTTACCATTATGTCAGGTACCAGAAATCCAGTGGTGAACAATATACCATCCTTATCACTAAGGCATTTCCAGCCAACCCTATAAACTGTCATCCGTGACCTCTCCAGGCCTCAAAAGTTTAAATGTCTATTTGGATACGAGGTTGCCTTCTCAAAATCAGGAACAGAGGCCAAAGCAAAAAACCATTATTGATGTTTCTGTTAAAACATGGAAGACAAGTGCACTTCATGCTGCTGCTGCTGCTTCCTAGGAGACATTGAAAATTCACATTTCACTAGTCAGATTCTAATATAATGCTCTAACACAGAGAGCTTTATACCTACTTTTTAACTTTTTGGTGATTTTGACTGCGTGTTTTTATTTTTAAAATGATACATTGTTAAATCTGCCAGTGGTTGATAAAAATCTCGCTTTTTGGAGTAATGAAATGCAAATCATTATAAGAAGCTTTTTAGAAGGAACAAGGCAACCATTATTACTACCTGAAAAGAGGGAAACTGAAGCTCGGAAAATAATATAAATTCCCCAAGTTTATCCCCTTAGGAAGTGGTAGAGAGGGATTCACCCGGCACCAATGCCCACGTGCTGCTTCCCCCTGTGAAGGGGGACTGGTTCTGTGCCTCATGCCCACCTCATGTATAAGTGAAACTGCTTGTACACACACACACACACACACACACACACACACACACACACTAACCCAAACTCTACATTATAATATTGGCGTCTAAGCACTCTGGTCTGCTCTGGGAAGGACTTTCCTCCTGCAATGGTCCCTTTTTTCTCTGGCTTTACCAGTGTTCCCCCCCCCCCCGGCCATTATCACATGCATATGTTATAATAGTTCCCATTAAAAAACAACAACAACAAAACCAAAATTCCCTTGCCCTGAAGTGCTCCTTCAGCTATTGCATCGTGTCTCCATTCTCCTTTAATTTACAAAAAAAAAAAAAAAAAAATCCAAAAACAAACCTGCTTGCACTGTTGTCGATATTCACTGCCTCCATTTCACCTCCCACTGTCTTGAATTTACTCATTTGGAGCTATCATCTCCATTCCACTAAAATGGCTCATCCACGCTGCCAAATACTTCTTATCCTCACCTTTCTTTTTTATTATTATTAAATTCATTGGGGTGACTTTGGTTAATAAGTTTATATATGTTTCAAGTGTATATTTCTATGGTGCATGATCTGTATATTGTATTGTGTGCTCACCGTCCAAAGTTAAATCTTCTTCTGTCACCATATATGCAGTCCTGCCCCCCACCCCCTTCTCTCTGGTAACTACCATACTGTCTGTCTATGAGTTTTTGTTCGTTTTTCCTCTCTTAATTGCTCAGCATCCTTTGACACCGATAATCATTCTCTTCTCCCTGAAACACCTTTACCCCGTGCCTGCTGATTTCCTTCTGAGTCTCCTTGGCTGACTCCTCCTCTTCCTATCACTAAATACTAAATGCCTGTGGCTGCCAGGGCTCAGTCTTCAGCCCTCCCCTTTCCTCTGTCCACACTCACTTTTGAGGGCAGTGATTTTCAGTCCTAAGAGACCCTATGCCTTTTCCAATAATAAATCTCCTATAATACCCTCTCTACTGTCTTCATAATGCATCTCAGGGGCATTTGTAATTAAACTCTACAGCTCCTTCATTTTAGAGAAATAAAGTTGGGTATAATTTGAAAATAAATTATATAATTGTGCCACTTCCTTAAATCTGACAGTACTACACTAAAAATAAATACTACCATAACATTTAGCTAGTCCTAAAATTACTGCAGGATCCAGCAGGTGAAGTCATATTCATTTTAATTTGAGTTTCTCTCCACTATAAGCTGGTGTGAGACCTTGATACTTACACACTCTAATTCTCAGCTTCTCCCTTAAAGGTTTATTGATCCTCAAAGGATCAAATGAGATGACACTCACAGCTAACATTTCACAAACATTTGTGCTAAGTAAACATGGTTCCCAGGACTTTCTTGACTTTACTTGATCCCCACAATTTCTTATGAGCTAATCACCATAATATTTTCCATTTTATAAATGGGATAGATAATTGAGGCTCAGGAGGGCTCAAGGAAATTGCCAGATGACGCACAATAAGTGCTGGAGCCAGGATTAGTGTCAGCCTCTGAAATCTGCATTGTCAATCATCACACTCTGACACAGAGCATGTGATAAGTGCTCAAAAAAGGTTAGCTATTATCCTATACTAGGGGCCCAGTGCATGAATTCATGCACCTTGAAAGGAACTGTGAGCTGTGAGGCTGCGGTGGGCACAGGGGCGGGCGGGTCTGGCCCCTGCCTGGCCCCTCCTGGCACAGACCCCAGTCTCCTGTCTGCTGGCAGCCCCACTCCCACTGCCATCGCTCCCACATGCTGACAGCACCAGCCCTGCTTGTACCCGCTGATGGCACGGAGCGATTGGGGCCAGCACCAGCAGTGGGTGTGAGCAGTGGCTGCTGCCCCGATCGTCCCTCAGGAGCAGGGGGAACTGGAGAAGCCCTCAGGGGTGATTGGGGCCAGCAGCTCTTGCTCGTACCTGCTGACGGCGCTGAGGGATCCGGACCAGTGCCAGGTGCCCGCAGAGGGTGCGAGCGGGACCATTGCTGGCAGCAGGGGCAAGAGGCGGCTGCTGGCCCTGATCGCCCCTCAAGAGCAGGGGGAGGTGGAGAAGCCCTGAGGGGTGATTGGGGCCAGCACCCGCCGCTTGCCCCCGCTGCTGGTGCCCGACGCCGGCCCCAATCGCTGGGCACCATGAGTGGGTGTGAGCAGCGGCTCCCGATCCCGCCAAGGCTGACACCCACCTTGTTCTGCATGCACCCCCTGGTGGTCAGTGCATGTCATAATGACCGGGTTTTTAGTTGTTCGGTTGTTTCAACGTTCGGTCTATTTGCATATTAGGGTTTTATATATCCTATATAATAAAAGGCTAATATGCAAATAGACCGAGTGGCAAAACAACTGAACAACTGGTCTCTATGACATGCGCTGACCTCCAGGGGATGTGCATGGAACAGGGCGGGTGTCGGCAGCAGGCGGCAGAGCGTGGAACATGGCAGCTGTCAGCCACGGCGAGATGGTGGAGCAGGTGAGCGGGGGTGCCAGGCCAAGGCAGGGCACCGGTTGCTGTCATTGAGCAAGCATCTGGTGGTTACTGAAAATTCTTTGCTCCCACACACTGTGGTCCTGCCTGGCGCTTGCATCAGCTGCCAGCACAGGAGCCACTGCTCTCACCTGCTGCTGGCGCCCGGTGCTGGCTCCAATCACTCAGCACTATCAGTGGGTGTGAGCAGCAGCTGTTGGCCCCTATTGTCCCTCAGGGCTTCTCCATCTCCCTCTGCTCCTGAGGGGCAATCAGGGCTGGCAGCTGTCTCTCACACCCTCTGCTGGCAAACAGCCCTGCTCGCACCCACTGCTGGCACCAGAGCCACTGCTTGCACCTACTGACAGCACCAGTCCCGATTGCTTGGCACCATTAGTGGTGCAAGTGGGGCTGGCACCCATCAATGCATGGGACTGGCAGCAGCAGGGGCGGGGCTGCTGGAAGATAGGGGACCATGGGCCATGGTGGGAGGGCCTGGGTGGGAGTGTGGAGGGTGGGCTGAGACCTGCCCCTGTGCCCACTGCAGCCTTGTGGCCCACAGTTCCTTTCAAGGTGCACGAATTTGTGTACTGGGCCCCTGGTATCCTATATAATAAAAGCCTAATATGCTAAGTGTCCAGTCATCCAGTTGGCCATGCAACCAATTAAAGTGTAATATGCTAAAGATACACTAAGGCTGCTCAACTGCTCGCTATGACATGCACTGACCATCAGGGGGCAGACAGTTGGCTGGTTGACCAGTCGCTATGAACCTCCCTGGAGGTTTCCTAATCCTCCAGGGGACAGACGCTCGGACCAGTAGGTTAGCTTACTGCTGGGGTCCAGCCAATCGGGAATGAGCAAGACAGGCCAGACATGTCTTGGAGCCTTCTCGTAGCCCTCCCATTGCCCCTCCCTGGCTGGCCAACCTCTTATGTCCCTCCCTGGCCCCAATTGTGCACTGATGGGGTCCCTCAACCTGGCCAGTGCCTTCTTGCAATCTGGGACCCCTTGGGGGATGTCAGAGAACCAGTTTTGGCCTGATGGCAGAATGACTGGTCGCTTTGATGCACACTGACCACCAGGGGCAGACGTTCAACACAGGAGCTTCCCCCTGGTGGTCAGTGTGCTTCCACAGGGGGAGCACCACTCAGCCAGAAGCTGGGCTCACGGCTGGCAAGCACGGCAGCAGTGGTGGGAGCCTCTCCTGCCTCCGTGGCAGCGCTAAGGATGTCCAACTGCCAGCTTAGGCCCGCTTCCATGGGCCTAAGCCATCAGTCAGACATCCCCTGAGGGCTCCTGGACTGCAAGAGGGCACAGGCTGTGCTGAGGGACACCCCCCCCCCAAAACACACACTCACCAGTACATGAATTTCATGCACTGGGCCTCTAGTAGATAATAAAAGGCTAATATACAAATCGACCGAATGGCAGATCAACCGGTCGCTATGATGCGCACTGACCATCTGAGGGCAGACACTCAACACAGGATCTGTCCCCTGGTGGTCAGTAGGCTCCCACAGGGGGAGTGCCACTCAACCAGAAGCCGGGCTTACGGCTGGTGAGCACACTGGCAGTGGCGGGAGCCTCTCCCGCCTTCGTGACAGTGACAGTGCTGAGGATGTCCTACTGCTGGCTTAGGCAGGCTCCCCATGGACATCCCCTGAGGGCTCCAGGACTGTGAGAGGGTGCAGGCTGGGCTGAGGGACTCCCCCTCAAGTGTACAAATTTTGTGCACTGGCCTCTAGTTATCAATAAAAGGTATTTCTACATCTCCCCTTCCAGTCTTATAAATAACTGGTCTTTACTAACTAGCTTTTCTAATGTGAAATACAAATGTAAATTTGAATGATTGATAATTTAGTCTACAGTCCTACTTGTGCTTGCTAGATATGTTTTCTTTTTTTCCCCCAGGACATGGTGACTCAGGCATCTCCATATCTGTTTGAAGCTACAGGAAAAAGATTCTATTTCAAAAATGTTGCCATTTTGATTCCTGAGAAATGGAAGACAAAACCTGAGTATATGAGACCAAAACTGGAGACCTACAAAAATGTGAGATTATCAAGTTCTTCTTTCAAATTCAATTTCCTTCGGCGATTTAGATTTTTTTTTCATCATAATATTCTAGAACCAAATGAAATTTGTTCACAATACTCCAGTGTGAATAAGGTCAATTCATTTGCTAAAATTTTGTAATGATGAAAACATTTTCTTAAATTTCAGGCTGATGTTCTAGTTGCCGAACGTAATCCTCCAGGAAACGATGATCCCTATACTGAGCAGATGGGAAATTGTGGAGAAAAGGGTGAAAGGATTCATTTCACTCCTGACTTCATAACAGGAAAAAAGTCTCAATATGGACCACAAGGTATGGGTAGAGAAGAAACATTCCACTGTGTTCCTCATAACTTAATAATTTTATATTCAAAGTAGATCAAAATAGCATTATCTTTCCGAGTAAGCACATATAAGCCAAATAACGTTACAGCATGCATTTTCACTTAAAGCAGGGGTTCAGAATAGTGTGTTTCTCGGTTAGAAATTTAATTTTTCATATTCTGCATAAATGTGTAACTATAGTGTTTTTAATTTTAAAAAGTTATTACTATCAGAAAATAGCTGTAATCGTTTATTGAAATGTTATTAGGTTTCTATGGATCTGATAAGGAGACTGCTGAATTAAACCTCCTGCCTGTAATTCACATAGTAGCCACCAGATGGCGGAGACTCACAGTGCTCTCAGACTTCAGCTCAAGCAAATTGAAAAGGAGGTTGTTAATCAGATTCTGATTCAGTAGGTGTGGGGTGGGACTCAGCAATTTGCATTTTTAACAAGCTCCCAGGTGATGCTGATACTGCTGGACTATGGACCACACTTTAAGGAGCACAGAGAATATCCTTGCAGTTCAGCTCGCAAAAAAAACCTGTAACTAAAGAAAAACATCCAATTTTCCTTCACAAAATAAACTCTTTATCATGCCCATGAGCTATATAGAACAATCTTTAGAAGAAAATATTAAAACAAACAATAAGGAAGTATATATAAAATATGTACGCTCCAGGTATAATCAAATGTGATTAGTATTAGCTAATTAGGTTACTTAATAACTACTACCAGGTATCTTTATTATCTTGAAAGTATTAGAACCAGCTTGATTTTCTTCACTCAAGCAAAAGGGCCCTGGTACCTCCATGCCCCACCCCGCACTCACTAGAGCACTACAGACTTATCAGGAAGATGTATCAAACATACCTCTTGTGCTTCGACAACACTCTATTTCATCTCCATAACAGAACCAGAAAATTCCCAATGTATGGCTCAATCAATAGGTGCTGAATTGATATACTAATTGCCCCATCTCACTTCTGGGCCCACTCCAGCCATCTGAGTCACCATATAGAATGGCAATCCTTCATAATCTCTCCTTTCTGTACTGTGACTCCACTTATGTTCTCTCCCATCTTCCCTTACCTCAAAGAGGCCATCCTCTGCTCCCAGCACCTACAGAATAGGGTCCAAATCCTCAGCGTAAGATACTAGCATTTCCTCAGGTGTACCCCCTCACCTAACCCTCCAAATGCAGCCTATCTGGGAATTTACATTCCAGGAAAACTGAGCTGTACATAAGTCACTAATTCCTCTAAATTTAACAAATACTCACTGAGTACCTATTAAGCTCTGGACATTATGCACCCAGGCATGACAATGAAGAAGTCATGGAGCCTGTCCTCATGGAGACAAGCGTTTAGTGTGGGAGACGGGCAAGAAAGCAGCAACTATAATAGAATGGAAGTGCCATATGGAATATAATGACAGAGTAAAGGAGGGATACTGGGTCTAGTCTGGGGATGTCAGAGAAGGCTTCTAGGTGGATATAAACTTGATTTTGAAAGAAGAGAAGCAACTATCCAAACAGAACTAGGGAACGTATCCCAAGCAAAGAAAGACTACATGAAATGAACCAGAGATGAGAAGGGGCCTCGAGTGGCTCTGGAAAGTAAAAGCAGTGCAGGAATTCCTTGTGATTATAGAGTTCTGGAAGTAGGTGAACAGCAAGAAATATGGGTGCAGAGAAGAGCAGAGCTGGGGTCATCAGGGACCTCATACTAAGGAGCGAACTTAACCCTGAACACCATAAGGTAGCCACTGAAGACTGGAGACATGGAGAGCAGCTGGGTGGCTATGGCAGTAACTCAGGAGTAAGTGGCAATAAGATTGGAAAGATGGGAATAGAGAAGAGGTGAGGTAGGCAGACCTTGGGGTTTGAGCCACTGGGGGTGCTGCCTGGCTGCCCTACCAAAGCTCCAGACCTCACAGTAGCATGTACTGCCCTCCATCACTGCACTTGCCCCAGTAAGGATTTTAGTTGTCTGATTGGCATGTCATCCACTGGACTGTATGCTATGCAAAGGGCAAAGCAGTTGTTTTATCTTTGAATTAAAAACTCTCTGGCACTTCCTATGTGCCTCATATGCATTTTGTGAGCTAAAATAAGTAGTTATATTTTTCAGAAATGTGGCGTTGTCATATTAGAGTTTTCTTTCTAAGGAAGTCAAAACTTAAAAAAAAAAATTAACATAGCAAAGCATAATAAAAGTCTGGAGAATTACTTTCTCCCAGCATTAGGAAGTAATTTTGCCATTCTTACTGTAACCGGGTATTTAAAACATTTTCTCACAGGAAGGGTATTTGTCCATGAATGGGCACATCTACGATGGGGAGTATTTAATGAATACAATAAAGACCAGAAATTCTACTTATCTAATGGAAGAAACAAAGCAATAAGGTATGGATATATTGACTTGACTTTTCCCAAACTATTTTAAATCACAACCCATTTTTTCTTGATTGCTTTAAAAATGTCCCATTTTTTTGCCTTGTTTTCTGTCTCTCATTCTTTGTTAGTGCCTCCTGTTGCAGAGTTCCACAAAACTACCACTTTTGCTTAGCTTACAAGCACTTCAATTAGTTGAGTTCTTTATTCTTCAGTTACAAACCATTTGCCTTTGTGAGTGTGCATATACAATTATAAGAAATCCACAGGTGCTATGTTCAGTGACTCCATCTTCCTGTGTCTGAGTCAGTAAAATAAACAAAGCTAATGGAGCTATTCAATGCCTTGAAAGCAGAATGATATCTGTGTGGACTTTGTCAGCATGAATGGGCCTGGGAGAGACTGTGGAATTTACCTGAAAGACAGTCAAAATATTAAAAGAAAGCAGAAAACTTCTCACAGTTTAATTAACTATTTCAATGCCAATGGAAAGCAAACTGAACATTTGGAAAGTAACCTTGGCTTCCATGATTGTATGGGTGAATTCTTGCAACCAACAGTTTCAGTGAACTGTTTTAGTACAACATAAAAGATAGGGAACTTCACAATTTATTTAAAAGAGCTAGCACATTTCAGATACTAAAACCCAACAGAAGACATGAAAAAGAATTCTGCAGATCAGATACAATTTTCTAAAAATATTTTAAATAAAAGAACAGTAAGTTATATCTGACAGAATCAAAGGACTAACAAACACACCAAGCCCACATAAGAAGTCTTCCAGAAATCCCAAAATGCTGTGATATTAGGTAAGTAATTAATATAGTATTTTGAGTCAAGAAGACAGATAAACGATTTTTCCAATAGATTCTCAGGAGGAACTTGAAAACCTTGAACACTTATGCCTGAGTCAGAAAATAACAACTGCTTTTTTAAGACGGGAAATTGCTGCACCGCCCCTCTCCACTTTTGCTTCCAGTTCTCTTGCCTGATGACCCCGTAAGGAGATGTGCTCAGCTTTGGTTTGGTTACTCTTTATTTGCTACTTGCTTCCAAGCAGAGCTCAGCCTTGGCCTCCCATTCTCCCAGAGGGACATTACTGCTCTCCACTCCTCCCTTTCTTCATTACATTCAGACTCTGTCAACTTGGTCCACTTCCATTATATTCCCCCTCATTGTTATATCACTTCAGGCATAAATAGACTAAGTGCCACGTAGAGCCACGCATAGTGTACCAGAGTCCTTTAGCTGTTCCCTCTGCACTGTATAAACTACAACCCAGGGCCACTTCCCTGATGTGATCATTTGTTGGATTAACCTCGCAAATCCCAGCCAATGAATGTCATTCTACATCTGTACCTTTCCCACTTCTCTTTTCTAAGTTTCTATTCAATTAGACACTGTATATTCCTTCAAGAGAAAAGCTGAATAATACATATTCCTTTCTAGAGATATTCTAGAAATATCTACATATGTAGCATGTTCTTCCTTCCACAGATAAGATTAGCAAATCTGGCTAATTACCATGTCCTCTGAAAAAGAAATTTTATTGTAACATATTAATAATTTATTGATTATTATCTTCTAAATTTAAAAAATTATTTTAAGGCCTAGAAGCAATCACAAAATGACAATACTGCCCACAATAGAAGGCTATTTCCTTAATATGATACAAAACATTAATTGAAAGCCAACAGCCTACATCGTATTTAATAGGAAAATACTAGAAACATTACCAGGGATAACATAGGATGGCCACTATTAGCACAGTTATTGAACCTTTTTTAGAAAGTGGTATCCAATGCAATAGCACATGAAACCGGGGAGGTTAAAGAATGGGAGGGTGGGGGAAAAGCTATGAGAAAGAGAGAAAACTGCTTTTATGCAGATGATATATGGTCCACTTAGAAAACCCTGGGGAATAAATAGAATTAAAGACAGGGGGAGTCAACAAGGTGACCAGATACAAAATGAAAATTCAAATTGTCTTCCCAAATATTAACAAAAACCAGTTCACAAATATTATGGACAGAATACTCCATTGAAGATAGCAATTAAAGGTATAATGAAGTGTAAAACTCTAAAAAAGGTAGATGTCATATTTTAAGAAAACTATAAAATCCTTCTAAAGGCTTTAAAAGAAAATCAAGAAAGATTGAGAGATTTTTCCATTCATGAATGATTTAAATTCAACCTAAATTAATATACAGGTTTTATAAAACTAGTCAAAAGCACATCCATTTTTACCTTATTTTTAAAAAATATCAGAATTCACTCAATAGATAGTACCTAAGAACATTTTTTTAAAAAGTAGTAATAAAGGGAATTTTTACTTGCTGAATTTTAGATATATATAATAAAACTATATTAACTAAAGCAATGTGAATTGACAGACACATATACAATAATTTACTATTTAATACAGCTAGAATTATAAATGTATGAGAAAAAACAGAATTTCTTAAGATATCAGGACAATTTGAGCTGTGTGGGGAAAATATTAACAGATCTTCTTCCAATTGAATAGACTCATTAAATATAACTATCATAGTCACAATGACAACTAAAGGAATATTAATAAAAACCATACTCCTATGTGGTGAAGGTCTTTCTATGCATTCAAGAATTGTACAAAGATATAACTAAAAGAATAATAAATTTGGCTATATAGTCATTAAAAATTTTGTTGCATATAAATCAAACATAAACTAAATAAAGAGGTAAAAAATAAAAAACATTATTTGTAAAAATTAATAAAAAACACCTTTTAAAAGCTTAGTATTGTAACACATGAAGAACCTTTGAAAACCAGTAGGAAACCAATAACATCACAATATAGAAATAGACACAGGAGGAGAATAAATAATCCACAGAAGAAGAAATAAAAATGGTGAATAAACATATAAAAATGTTCAGACTTACTAGCGATCACAGTGGTGCAAATTTGACAAAGATAAGAATCGTTTATTACCTAGTAAGTAACTGTTAGTGGGTGAGATCTCCTACAAATGGTTGTTAGAGACATAAGTTGGCACAAGTATGGAAAACAATTTGGTGACACATATCAAATCTCCAAAATATTTCCTTTTTCTTCATCCAGTAATTTCATGCTTAAAGCCCATTATAAGAAAAATGGTAGAATAAGCTGTATCAGCAATCTATAAAATATTCACACTTTTGATCTGATGATTTAGTCTGAGAACCAATCACATTGCAAACTTGGAAATAGAGTCAAAATTTTATGTGAAATTTTATTTATTCATTGAAGTTTTATTTTTAGTCCTGACAAGTTGGGGGAAATCAAGTGAAATATATTAAGCTAAATTTATTTTATACTATGAGAACATGCAATTATTAAGATCACAGTTTGAAAGAATGTTATAAAATTATAATTAGGTATTAAATTTTTAATTATACTAACATACTACGTTTTTCAAAAGCCTGAAGCAAAACTCTATGCGCCATGTTATGCTGATACAGAGAGAGGAAATGCTTCAACATGTTGACAGTAGCTTATTTCTGATTGTGGAACATGATGTTTTTCTTTTCTTCTTTATACTTTTTTGTAATTTTCCAAATTTTCTATAGTGTTCATATATTGTTTATATACTCAAATAATAAGATGTTAGAGAAAAGCATTCCACTTATGATAGCAATAAGACTCACAAGCATATAATATAAAGGAAAATCTAAAATACTTAGGAACATATAAGAGCTATGTAAAAACTGTATGACATAAACTAATGAGAAACACAAAACCCAAGCCTTTTGAGGGAAACAGAGGCCAGATTTTCCAGGAAGGAGGGGACTACATTAGGCGGTGCCTCAGGTCTGCAACCCTTGTTTATCCTAACAGCAACCATAAACCAGACTTCGCTTTTCTGCTGCAGAGAAACAATTTCTGATACCATTTGGGGACTCTTCAGATACATTCTGGCAAACAGAAATAATTTTTCTGTTTAAGGATATATCTGTCTCTTGAATTGTGAGAGGACATCGTGGACAAGGTCATCGGTGGAACTCGACCACAGAGTCAAGCCCTTTGAAATAATTATGTCACTTGAGTATCCAACCTTAATATATTTTCAGGTGTTCGGCAGATATTACTGGTAAAAATGTAGTAAAGAAGTGTCAAGGAGGCAGCTGTGTGACCAAATCCTGCAAAGTTGATAAGGTAACAGGGCTGTTTGAAAAAGGATGTGAGTTCCTACCTGATCGTGAGCAGACGGAGAAGGCTTCCATAATGTTTTCACCAAGTGTTAATTCTGTAAGTATCTTTTTTTTCTCTCAACACTATGAATCAATGAGGTTTTTATCCCAGATGCTGCAGGAGAGGATCAAATTTTAGGAAGGCATCACTGAGCAGCTGATTCTCTGTGGGGCCAGCCAAGAATGCACAGTCAGGGCAAAGTCCTGTCTCCCCCTTCCTCTTCTTCAGGTTTATTCTTGCTTCTCCATCCTCTCCTTCCCACTAGCTTTTAGTTTCAGTGTTTAGAATGACTTCAAGTATCCTTAAAGGCAGACAAACACAAAGTTTTTTCATTAAATAAGAAATTTAGCCAGGGGGATTCTTTTAATTAGTTAATAAGGACAAGACCAGTAGCCTTTAATTTAATTTTCAGAGATCTCTTTTCAGCCTGTCTATTTACTTTTAGTTGTTAAGTAAAATTTTCTCTCTCCTTTGTTTTTTGTGTGTGTTGTTTTTTGTTGTTGTTGTTGTTGTTGTTGTTGTTTATAAGTTTATCTGAGCCACGCTGACAACATATGCAAGGGAGCAAGATCTCAAATGCTCCTGAAATTTTCTCTTTTTAAGAGTGTCGGTGCCCTTACGGAGTTTGTACATAGTTTTAATAGCTTACAAATATTTCTTAATGGTTTTTTAATGACAAGTTGGCCATAAGATAAACTTGAAAAAATTACCCTTATTAATGCTAAATATGTACATCAATGAATTTGCACAAACTAAGATTAAGTGCTTCAGTTAACTGACTTTAGTGAGGAGTCCCTCTTATCTTCCAGGCTCTTACATAAAGTGATGTTTTCCTCTTGGAATAGAGCAGCGGTTCTCAACCTGTGGGTCGCGACCCCTTTGGCGGTCGAAGACCCTTGCACAGGGGTCGCCTAAGACCATCCTGCATATCAGATATTTACATTACAATTCATAACAGTAGCAACATTACAGTTATGAAGTAGCAACGAAAATAATTTATGGTTGGGTCACCACACAAGGAACTGTATTTAAAGGGCCAGAAGGTTGAGAACCACTGGAATAGAGGGTGAAGTAACTTGTCAATAACAACATGATACACCATGGTTCCTAGGCCCATCCTTCACTCTGGTTTCGCAGTCCACCTCCAGACTTGCTCAGGAGTTTTCCAGAATATATGTTCTAAATTACCAAGCTAGAGTTGAAGTTGATGCACAGTGAAGTTTGGGAACCTCTGCCTGGGGTTTTACGCAGAAGTTTTTCAGATTCCCTTACTCAAAAGTAAATAGAATGATAACATGGAAACACTACCAAAATGATCTGAAAAATGCAAAGAGAAAATTGTTTTACAGCTAATGATTGCATTCTAAATTATAGAATCACAGGTATTTAAGATTTTTAATTGAATGATAATACTATAAAATCACTGAGAAGGAGGACCTAAATTATACCTACTTTAGGTATACTATGCTTCCTTTTTTAATCCCCCAAATGCTAGCAATGAAAATGCTAAATAAAAGGAAAAAACACTATCACTTATTGGCTGCATTAGTATTGACCCTATTGCATATGTTCTTATGTAATTCTTGCATGGTAACTACTACCATTTTGTAGATTAAAAAGCTGATGTGCAGGTTTTTTTATATTGAGCTTTTATTACGTGTCACATACTGGACTAGGTTTTGAGGAAGCAAAATTTAATAAGACAGGTTTCTGACATAGGTGGATTTACAGCTCAGTAAATGCATTACAATGTTGAAGGGGCCTTACTAAAGTTTCTATAGGGCTCCGTGAGGCCACAGGGTTGAGTGAAAATTTCGCTTTTCTTTGGTGGAAAGGTAGAAAATGAGAAACTATTTTGAAAATGAACTTTTGGCTGAAACATGAAGGTGAGGTTCACAATGCAGAGGACAGAAGAAGAGGCATCGTTTACAAATGGGGATCATGAGCCAAGTCAAGATATACAACAGCCTGACAAGGCTACCGTGGGGGAATCAAAGACTTGGACTGCACAGCCAGAGTGAAGTGGAGAGTGAAGGAAAAATGCATTTTATAGAGACTGCTGTTTGCTATGTGACGTAGTACAGACTACTTCACAATTATGAGCCACCAAAGGGTCTTAAATACAGGAATAAGAATGAAGATGCCTCTGACAGCTATGGAGTGGACCAATTGGAAGGGGAGTGAACCGTGTCCAGCACAGCCAGGGGTGAGCCTAAGGAGGGGCAGTGAAGGATTAAAGAAAACAGACAAGAGAATACAGTTGGGGCTGGGTGGATCACTGCCTGGATGAGGAAACAGTGACATAGCCTGTAAGCTGAAGCTTTATTTTATAGTCAGATCACACAAAGCAAAACAAGGGGAGTGGTCAACATGTTTACAATGTTCTTATAAGTTTCAAATATATTTTGTTACTCAAACCTTGTTTTGGCAGCACTTGCTGCACCTCTCACAGCTCATTAGCTACCTAGAAACAAGGGAGGACTATCAGGTCAAGCTTAATTGTGCTAGGAGGGCTCTGCCCTCCAAGCTGGACTTGTATGTGGCTCTGCCACAGGTCAGTCCGAGGCTTGACCCTATAGCCGCTCCGTACAGGGGAGCAAGGGAGAAAAGTCAGCTAGGAGACTGCAATAGTGTGATGAGGGACCGTGAGGGCTTGAATGATAGAGAGTCCATTGGAAAAGGAGAAAAGATGATGAACTGGAGAGACAGTGAAATGGTTATTTTGTAGGTGGGGGAAAGCTAGAAAAACTCTCAGGTTCCTGAGTTAGAAGACTGGGTGAACAGTGGTGGCATCAAGCTAGGAAATACATGAGGAGGAGGAACAAAGTTGGCGGAAAGGTGACAAGGTGATGAGTTCAATTATGAACATGTGCGGTTTGAGGAGCTGGCAGAAAATCCAAGTGGATTTTGGAGAGAGCTGAATGTTGGGTGTTAAAAGTTGGACTGTGAGGTGTTGGCAAGTGACTGGGAAGGAAAGAAGTGAGTGGAAGTGAAAGGATGGAAAGATAAGATGGTACCACGAGAGAAACGTTGCAATGCAGTTGTCTTGGTGATAGTGGTGATGGCTCAAAATAGAAAAGTAGGAAGGAAGCCAAAAGCAAGCAAATGATTGCTGTGAAGCCTTAAGGTTTCCACAAGGTTGAGCGCATGTTTGGAGATAGGAATTCTAATTGTGACTGTGATTTTCTCCAGCAGTTCTCTGCAGTGATTTGGAGATTGGACCAAGATTATGAGTGAACAAAGCAGACTGGGGAGGAGGGCAAGGAATTAACATACTTTAAAATAATCAAATCATTAAAGATTTTAACCAGTAGTTTATTGTTGTCTATGTCATTTTACTGACAATTTCAGGTGGTCGAATTCTGTACAGAAAAAAACCACAACAAAGAAGCCCCAAACCTGCAGAACCAAAGATGCAACCTGCGAAGCACCTGGGAAGTGATTAGCGGCTCTGAGGACTTTAAGAAAACCACTCCTATGACGACACCACCACCCAAACCCACCTTCTCATTGCTGCAGATCGGACAGAGAATTGTGTGCTTGGTCCTAGATAAGTCTGGAAGCATGAAAGTACGTGCAATGAGCCTCAGTCTCTGGATGCAGACCTCATATTTGCATACAGTATAATCTAGCCAGCCTAGAGAGTCCGATGTTACAGCGCTCACACTGCCATCAGGAAGGCATACCGCCACTTTAGTCAACAAACATTCAGCATCAAGTGTCTCATTTGCCAAATTAAATTAGCTTTCGATTTGTGAATGACACAGCCTTAACATATATGTTTCCCTGACAGTGCACAGGTCTATAGACCTGTTTCTAAAGCCTAATGATTGAACTAAAGCCTAATCTGGTTTTACCTTTTAGGGCTATTTTTACAAAGGCCCAAAAATTCTACTCCAAAATACTACTAAATATAAAGGAGAGTTCTCCCATAGAAGGATATGCCTTGAGTAAGCTTGCTGCCATTTACTCTCTGTTGAGACAACCCCTTCCAAATTCCCTCTAACCTGTTCTGTTATTAGTCTGCCCACCTAAACACAACCTGACTGCCTGTCTTCTGCTTCTCCCTTCAGAGTGGTGACCGCCTGAAACGAATGAATCAAGCAGGCAAACTTTTCCTGCTGCAGACGGTTGAGCAAGGGTCCTGGGTCGGCATGGTGATGTTTGACAGTGCCGCCCAAGTCCAAAGTGAACTTGTACAGATAAACGGTGGCGCGGAAAGGGAGGCGCTCATCAGAAAGCTACCCACAGCGGCCTCAGGAGGAACATCCATCTGCAGTGGACTTCGATCAGCATTTACTGTGAGACAAGTTCCCCTATTGAAGTTCGGCAATGGTTACAACTTATGGTTAAGAAATCCAGTGTTTCCATACATGCCTAGTATCTGGTTGAATTAGACAATTAAGGGTAGAGCAGTGGTTCAAATGATACAAAGACACCGCCCTGCAAAACTATTGTTAACTAGTTCATTCATGCTTTCGTGCTTTTCTACATCAATGCATTCCTGCTTTCCTACATGCATACCTGCATTCAAAATATTCATGTGTGCCTGCGATAAGCAAGGCACTGTGTTGGGCATTAAGAATACCATGAGGGCCAAAGAGACACCACACATCCTCCTGTCACAGAGCTTATAATCTTATTGGGCATATACATTAACCACATAGTCACACAAATAAGTTAATATGCATAAGCTATAATGATTGCTATGAAGGAAGGTACACAGGGACACAACAGGGTATCTTCTATGAGAAAGAAACATGAGCTCTGAGTTATGGTTAAATTTTGAGGGAGCTTAGCACTCCAAACTTCTGGGCACAGAAGGACCTCCTTTTGTGCAAGCAAATGGTTTATTTATTGAAGCAGGAGGCCTTAGGAAATATAACTATAAATGTATCGGGGGTATAACCAAAGGTCCCATCTGACCACACCCCATCCCTCTACTTAGATATCAATATCTCACCATTTTCAATAAATTTAAGTAAAAATTTCTCCATCTAACATTTAAGGCATTCAAAAAATAATCCCTACTTCCCTCACAAGTCTTAAGGACCAGGGACTCTCTTCCAGATGTTTAAGCAAGTGAGACCACTCATCCTTCAGAGCTCCTGCACCTTTGCCAGGCTAGCTCCCCACTTAGAGTACTTTCTCCTCCCTCCTGTGCACCTCAGAGCACTCTTGTTCTTCAAAGGGCCATACTTCTTGACATCTTTCCTGATCCTTCTAACTGTGTAGAACTGCTCTTTCTGAATCCTATGACCTTTAAAAAAAATAGCTCTTATGACTTCAGGCTCTTCTCTCTCTTATTTTCTAATCACGTGCTTCTCTTAAGCAAACTTTAGGAGTAAGATTTCTCTTTTTACCTCCGAGGAAGCTGGCACAATATCTTGTATGCAGGAGGTTCTCAAGAAATAAAACTGAATTGAGTCAATTGATTGCATCTGATGCTTAATTGCTCTAAATACAGAATATAATATTCTGTATTATTTAGAGGCTATTTAGCTCCATGAAACAAAGCTGGCAGGCCTAAGGGCTGAGAGTCTCAGCAACGTCTCAGGCAGGTCTGCACGTGCCTGCTGTGGACACAACACATCATTGGGGCTGTTCCAGATTCCCAGGCAGCAGCAGAAACATTGAATTTCATGTGGACAATGGCTCAAACATTCCCTCAAATGCAGTCTGTCCCTCTGGCCCTTTTATTCTACTTTGAAGGCCGGTTCCCTGAAAGTAGTTTCTATTGTGTACACAGTCAGCTGGAAAACCCTTAGCCAGATGCCTATGTGCATCTGGGTTCTCTTGCCTCTGCCGCTCATTCAAGCATTGATTAAAGAAGCAAATGAGGGAGGGAAACTGACAGTGAAATCACTGACGTATACTGAACTCCTGTTATGCAAACCCTGAGGGAGATGACTAATGCCAGATGGCCTGGCGATGAGGAGAGAATGGTTCTGCATTTTCCACTTGGATGGGTGACACAGTGTGAGGGATGCAGTTGGAGTTTAAATGCTTCTCTTTCCCTATGGAATCTGAGTGCAGGGTCAGAAGGAGCTTATGGGCGGCTTCAGGGTGATGAGGTAAAGGCCTTGGATCCTACACTGTCCTCAAAATCCCCCACTGGTCCTTGCTAGAGGACCCTGGACAGGTCTGTCCTGGGCTCCTGGGAGTGGTGTCTGGTGAGGTGTGGCCTCTGTGCTTTGCTTGTTCTCTTGGCTTGATTGGGCCCAGTGGTCCTCCCCAACTAACTCAGCCCTACCCTGGCTGTCACTGTTGGAGCAGAGCCTTGAGCATACCTACGTCCTCCATTCAGCCCCCAAGGAAGGCTGTGCACCTTTTTTTTCTTCCTTTATTGATTAAGGTATTACATATGTGTCCTTATCCCCCCTTTTCCCTCCCACCCCACCCCCACTCATGCCCTCAGCCTCTAAGGCAAGATAACCTGTTCTCTTGCTTGCCGACTCTCATGTTAGCTGTCTTCTATCTCCCCAATAGTGTGTGTGTGGGAATGTCTGCATGTTTTCCATGACCTGTAGTAGTGATGGGGAGTGTTGGCAAGGGAATCCAAATTAAGCTCTTTCTCTAGCTTCTAAGATCCTACAGCTCAGGCAGACCAAGCTCAGGCAGACCAAGCCCATGGCCATGGCTGATAGGCTCCTGGGCTCTGGGCTCCTTCACATGGCAACAGTCTTAGTTCTGCTCTCTTTCCTTGTGTGGCTGCCCCTCTCAGAGTTCAAACAGAGCGGGGAGAAAGTCTTCTCTGCTCCCAGCTTTCCTTTCAACCTACTTAAGACACATTCGCTTTCTGAGAGTCTGGTCCAGAGAAGGGAGGCTTAATTGCTTGTTTTCTCTCCTTCTGGGTCTTCCTTCCACTCTTTTTTGAGGAGTGGGACTCATGCCTCCCTCTTCTTAAAAGGATAACACTGTTGTTTTATGTGATTTTCCTTGCATCATAATCTTATTCAATATTGTCCTCTCTACACCACATAACAAACTATAGTCCATGTCTAGCAGTTACAACATAGGTGTCATAGGACAAATAGGAACTGGGATTACTAGGAATAAAATGTTTTGCTTTAATCACAGGGTACATTAAATTTTTTATGGCTACAATTTCTTTTCCTTTATTGATTAAGGTATTACATATGTGTTCTTATCCCACCATTGCCCCCCACCCCCCCGCTCATGCCCTCACTCCCCTGGTGTCTGTGTCCATTGGTTAGGCTTATATGCATGCATACAAATCCTTTGGTTGATCTCTCCCTCTTACCCCTGCCCTCCCCTACCTTCACTCTGAGGTTTGACAGTCTGATCGATGTCTCTCTGTCTCTGGATCTGTTTTTGTTCATCAGTTTATGTTGTTCATTATATTCCACAAATGAGTGAGATCATGTGATATTTATCTTTCTCTGACTGGCTTATTTCGCTTAACATAATGCTCTCCAGTTCCATCCATGCTGTTGCAAATGGTAGGAGTTCCTTCTTTTTTCTTACCACAGCATAGTATTCCATTGTGTAGATGTACCCCAGTTTTTTTAATCCACTCATCTGCTAATGGGCACTTAGACTATTTCCAAATCTTAGCTATGGTAAATTGTGCTGCTATGAACATAGGGGTGCATATATCCTTTCTGATTGGTGTTTCTAGTTTCTTGGGATACACCCTGAGTGGCACAAAGGATACATTAAATTTTTTTAACAGCTCATGTGAGCTGGGTATTGACCAGTCAGAACCAATGTCAGCCATAAACCATTGGTATGCTCAGACAGGTGAGTATCATACAAACTAAAATCTACCCTAGGTCTAATATTACCCCAATATTATCCCCATTAAAAGAGGATGGTTTCTGAGGGTTTCTTGGAACCCCTGAAAGCTCTTGAGGAGAGATTATGTGAAGGAAACTTCTTTCCTGCGTCCCCAGGGCTGCTCACCTCTGGAACTGCCCTGAGCCACACTTTATAAAACTCTCACTGCAGCAGGTTCGTCAAGAGAAAAGAGCACAGAAAAGTACCATGAATGTTTCCCATTTAAGAGTGTGTCATTTCAAAAGGGAGAGACATTTGACCATCCCCAGACACTTTTGTTATTTTGGAATTCCTTTTCTTGTTCTCTATACATGCAATTTTCACAAACACTTTGTCCGCCCTGAGTTTGGTAACTCACTCTCTTAATTATGTCCTTAGGTGATTAGGAGGAAATACCCAACAGATGGAGCTGAAATTGTGCTACTGACTGATGGGGAGGACACCTCCATAAGCACATGCTTTACTGAGGTGAAACAGAGCAGAGCCATCATCCACACTGTTGCCCTGGGGCCCGATGCAGCGAAAGAACTGGAGGAGCTGTCTAAAATGACAGGTGAGGGGCAATCTGCTGAGCCCCACTGATTGTTGCTTCCACTGGACTGCGAGCTCCAGTGAAGTGGGGAAGAGGGGAAAAGTGGGAGAGGGACAAAAGGGGTCATTTTACTGGCCTTATCCCCAAATAACCATTATAACCTACTCTACCCATTCATTGTAAGGCCTTGGTTCTAGGATTAGGGCAGTCTGGAGAAGATGGGACCAGATGGCACCCTAATGAGGACCTGGAACTCTCTTCCCAGGAACTTTATAAGAGCTGGAAGGAATCTACTAGTTTAGCCAGGAACCACTCACTTCCAGTTGGCAGCTGCCAAGAGACCCATGAGAGACACCAATTACATTATACCATGACACAGTGCTCTGTTGGCAATAGAAAGTACAATGAGGCACAAAGAAGGGAAGGAGGGGGCCCAGAAAGATGACATCTGAGTTGGGACTTTTAACAAGGAGTAGCAGGGGGAGAGCAGAGGGTCTGCTCAGCCACATGGAAGGTCACTCTGAAAATGTGGAATACAAAGCACTTCTCTGTAAAACATTAATCAACTGTGCTTCTAACACAACAGATGGTAAAAATAGATCCCATATGCCCCTGGCTTCTTTAGCGGAATGGATGGACACGATTTCTTTTTATGTATTTGTTTTACTTAGGATCAGCATTATGGATAGCAATGATTATGCTGGGTTTCCTTCTGAGGCAGCTAAAATGACAGGGAGGTTTGCTCTTAATACTAGCTGTCGTAGGCTGGGTTTCCTAGAGAAAGAAACTGAGGCAGGGATTTAGGTGCATGTAATTTACAGAGGGAGACCTCTCATGAGAGGGAGGGGGAACAAAGGGTAGGACAGGGGAAGGAGCTACGTATGGATCCGACTGGACTTGGAGTCCAGCTGAAGCCTGACTCCACAGAAGACTCAGAGCTGGAACTGCATTGCAAGCTTGGTCCAATTTTAAAGCAAGGGCACTGGCCTTTTGTGCCACTGTGTCCATCAGTCCATGGCTGTGGACTGTCAGGGTGGGGCAGAGATGAGGGGGCAGGTTATTTCCTAGCTTGGGGCTTGGGTGTCCCCTTTTGGTAAGGCCATTCTCTGGAAAATGGGGCAGCTATATGCCATTAGCAGCTAACAGAGCAGCTAAGAAAAGATGCACTCACCTAGATAAAAGGATCTAGGTAGAGCACCAATTGTATTATCAACAGTATTATCAAAACACTTTCCTTAGACTGGATGACATTAATAGTTTAAAAGTGCTTTCATATCAACTATCCCAGTTACACCTATCCTAAATAGCCCAAAACTGCTTGGTGTAGAATAGTATCATTTTTATTGCATGTTGTACTTTTCTATAACGGTTCCTCGCCAGCTGTTATTTCTTCCTTTGTCACATGCACAGCTTTTCTGATTTAGGAGAAAACGCAAAAGTCATCCTTCTTAGAATTATGTCTGAAATAAGAATAAATCAGTAGGCTTAGAGTAAGGCTTCGTGGATTCTCTACTATGAAAGTGCATGGTCCATAGGTCGACGCTCAACCACCAAGCCACACCTTCTGGGCAAAACAAGAATTTTATATCAGTTTGGGCTTGTCAGCTTCATGGTTGCTTTGCATATAGCTGAAGTAGCCATACAACGGAGATGTTGCTGGAGTTATTATTTAGTAGGATTAAAAAGCTAGTATCAACTTCTGAGTTAATCTGATTACTTATTTGATTTTGATCTGTTCATACTTTAATAACACAGTAGAATATTTATTTTGTGTATTCTGTTACCTTAAGAAGAGCAAAAATGTTGCACATACTTGATTTCTACCAAGTAACTTCTGATGATGTAATTTCTTCTCAGGAGGTTTGCAGACATATGCTTCAGATCAGGCTCAGAACAACGGCCTCATTGATGCTTTTGGGGCCCTCTCATCAGGAAATGGAATTGTCTCCCAGCGCTCCATCCAGGTCAGACTTCTTCCTCTGCGAGTTTTCATGTTTATAAATAATGCTAGCCAAGATGGAGAGTTTACTGGTTAAAAGTTTTAAGTTCTACTTTCTTCTACTAGTGACTTAAAATTAAAATACATGTTTCAGGCTGATATTAAACATTAGTCCTAAAATGCAACACTACTCATTTAAACAAAGCAACAGTGTTTACTTGTTTGGAAACAGTACTAAAATGACTTCCTCATAAAAACCAGCAACATAAAATATAATGGGTCCAAGCATTCTTTTTTAACATCTGTTAACAAGCACCCATAGCAATCTAATTGGCTCAGAATTTTCTTCAGAGTAGATCATCTCAATACAAATTTTCCAGGAAAAGTGTTCAGGGATTACTTGCTCTATTTTTCCATTACCACAAATCTCTGATAGTGGCCAAGATTTTCATATAATGGATGGAAAGTGCTTTGTACTGTGAAAAGCCCACGCCGTCAGTCCAGACACCTGGATTCTTGTCCAGGGTCGGTCATTAACTCTATGACCATGGGCAATGAACTTCATCCATCTGGGCCTCATCGTCTCAGTCAGATATAAACCCGAAAACTTCTGTTTTTCTGAAAAATCAGGCCCTTCTGATTCTAAAATTTCAAGAAAATAAAATTTTCTTTTAAAAATTATGGTACTATTTTTTAAAAAAACTGGACAAACATTTTAAAATGCTCTTCTCTAATAGTGCAAAAATTACTCACATGATTTTTTTGAACTAGAGAGAGTAAACAGTCAATACTCATACCTGTGTGAATTATAACTTTTATTGTGAAAGTTTGGATAAAAGTAAAGGAATGCCTGATGTCAAAGCCAAATAATGATAAGAGTTCAAAACAACAGGCTTTCTGGTCTACCAATATAGCAATTATTCAGTCAAAGAAGAAAGCAATTATACTCCGTTGGGTTATCCTAGTTCAAATTTAGAAAATGAAACTCAAGAGCCTGGTTTAGAAATGGGAGGAACGTGTCTTAGAAAAGTATTAAACTGATGAAAGGGTAAGTTCACAATCAGGCCATTTCTGCCCATTTGTATTTTATTTAAGAAACCTAACAGGAAGAGTGATGAAGAAATGAGTGTGATTCATTTACCCACTTGTCATAAGAATCAGATCCAAGATCATAATCTCCCTATGGAACTAGAAATTCTGGCTCCATGACTAGGCCACCCTATCTTCTAATACAAGTTCAATTTAAGGACAATAAGTAATAATCTAAGCCATAATCCTCAAAATCACACTTTTTACAAAAGTCTTACTAACCCTTCCCCATCTTAATCCCAGCTTCTCAGCTCCATTCTACTCCCCCAAACAGACAACCTTGGCAACTGACTTAATTTATCTCCACAGGGACTGCAGAAATACTCAACTTAACACTTAGTTATTTGCAATCCAGACAATCCATACATGGGTGAAAATAAGTCCCAGTCACAGTTATAGGATAGTAAGTAAGATGAGCTCTGTATACCAGTAGGTATAAAGCAAAACACAATGTGAGAATATCAAAGGACTGACAGAAACAGTCCTCTGTGGGAGCTCACAGGAGGGAGCAATTACTCTCAACTGGTAAGTGAGATGGACATCTGAGAAAGCTCTGTGGAAAAAGTGACATTTGAAGTGAAACTTGAAGGATAGGTAAGGCTTACCTGTGGTTCTCAACCTTCTGGCCCTTTAAATAGAGTTCCTCATGTTGTGACCCAACCATAAAATTATTTTCGTTGCTACTTCATAACTGTAGTGTTGCTACTGTTATGAATCGTAATGTAAATATCTGATATGCAGGATGGTCTTAGGTGACCCCTGTGAAAGGGCCGTTCGACCGCCAAGGGGGTCGCGACCCACAGGTTGAGAACCGCTGGCCTAGACAAATACAGATGAGCACACATACTTCCAAGAGAAGTGACAGTGTGATAGTCACAGGGTCACTAAGGAAGTGGTCTGGTTTGGGTGCAGGGATCAACATTCTGGTAGCTAAAGCTGGAGAGGGAATTTAGAATTAGATCATAATAGCAAAATACCAAACCAAGGGCTTAAGCACTCAGGGCTTTTTAATGGGACAACTGAATGTTGGGGGGCAGAATGGAAGAGACCCTGTGATGGGAGCTGTAGTCTCCAGAAAATAAAGAGTTGTTTTTCTGAACAGCTTGAGAGTACAGGAGTAACTCTCCAGGCCAGTCAGTGGATGAATGGCACAGTGATTGTGGACAGCACCGTGGGAAACGACACCTTGTTTCTCATCACCTGGACAATACAGCCTCCCCAGATCCTTCTCTGGGATCCCAGCGGAAAGAAACAAGATGGCTTTGTAGTGGACACAGACACTAAAATGGCCTACCTCCCAATCCCAGGCACTGCCAAGGTATGGACTCAGCATTTCCGCTTCTCACAATTTGACAAGGTAACGTTTTTATAGAATAACCATAGCTTTTTAAGCATGGATAGTTGCTAAAAGGAAAGTCAGTGTTGAAGGAAAGAGAGCACCACGAAAAATCTCCATCCAAAGGAGATCACTCAATATGACAGCAAGTCAAAAGAAGGAAAGCGGTGTTGTTTTCTCCAGATACTAAAAGGAGAACCTTCAAATTACATGGTGGTCACGATGCAACATCATCCTTAAAGAGTCAGGTTCATGAAAACCGTTTCTTCTACCCCAAAAACCCAGCCATTTGATCCTGCCCTTCAGAAACCAAGGCAAAGATAAGGATAGTTTTCAGACTTCATTTTCCCCAATTAGGGCTTTCTTGACAGTAAGAACCATGTAGTTAGCTCACGCATACCAAAGTTTCCCTTGGCTGCGAGTAGCAAAGACCATCCTAGATATGCTTTAACATGCTCATATGAGATAGGCTCCTCACAGAAGTCAAGTCTGTGTCACCCAGATCCTAACTGCAAATGTTTCCATTTGTTGTGGTCAGGTTGGCATTTGGAATTACAGTCTGCAAGCAACCGCCCAGACCCTGACTTTGACTGTCACCACCCGCGCATCCAGTGCTACCTTGCCTCCAGTTACAGTGACCTCTAAAATGAACAAAGACAAAGGCAATTTCCCTAGCCCTATGGTAGTTTATGCAAAGGTTCACCAAGGAAACTTGCCGATTCTGAGGGCCAGTGTCACAGCCCTGATAGAATCAGCAAAGGGAAAAACAGTTACCTTGGAACTATTGGACAACGGAGCAGGTAACCACCCAAGAAATTTGCAAAACACATCTTCCTTTTCCAAGAAGCAACAGCAGGAGGGCGTGGCCTGCTGAGGACACTTAGAAACAGGGAGTACAGCACTGAGGGTCTGGTTGGGAGAGCTTTCTGCTCCCCCCACCAATTCCTGTATTTCTAAATGTTGGACATGAAAAAGGACCTACTTTTAGCTTCTGCAAAGCCCAAACATATTGGTGGCTCAAGCTCAATAGCTCAGAGATTCTAGGGAGCTATCAGAGTGTATTCATACACTCCAAAAATTTAATACCTATCTTACATTAGGGTTTGTGTGACCAAATATATGTATATACAGTGGGGCCTTGACTTATGAGTTTAATTCGTTCCGAGACTGAGCTTGTTAAGGAGCTCGTTAAAACACATTGTATGCGGGAAACGTATTTATACGTTTTACTTATACGTTTTACGTTGACTAGTAGTAGAGTGCGGGACACGTATTAATACGTTTTTTATAGACTAGCGGTAGGATGCGGGTAACATATAAATACGTAAACTAAAGTTATCGTAATTTTACTGAACGTTGCTATTTGCGCAAAAAATTAGCAAAAATGGCCTGCACCACCTGTTATTGTGCGATAAAAACTACCCGCAAACAATGTGTTAAGGAGCTTGTTAACTCAAATTACTCTGTCAACTCAATGCAAAAAGTCAGCCGAGAGACAGCTGGTATCTCAAAAAACTCGTTAGCCGGGACATTCGTAAGTCAAGGCCCCACTGTATACATTTTTATCTGTACCCCACACTGTTGAGATATCACTATCCCTACGTTACAAATGAAGAAACCGAGGCTTTCACATTCGGAAAGCATCAGAGATAAATTCAAGTACAGTTATATGTGACTCCTATATCTATGCAGACTCTATATTATCTTGTTCCCAAAGTGAAAATCCTGCCCATTATTTTTTTTATTTAAGAAATCTAACAGGAAGAAAAGAAGAAAAAATTCTACATTTCTTTTTAGGAGAAACTTTGCTGCTTACTGTGATGCAAGTAATCTTTTTAGGACAAAATCTATAAATGAATTTCCTTCCTAAATCCACCCTGGGAGAAGCCATGAATTTTTGAAAAATAATCACATAACATTTTTTTCTCCTCAGTAACATACAGCAATTCAATTCAATACAACAGCTACCTATCGAGTAGTTAGCCTGCACTGTGTTGGATATAATACACATGTCATGATCTCTGATTTCAAAAAGAAAGACAACTGTTCAGGAAGCTAAGGTGTACACATATGAAACTATACACACTTACACATCACACACACACGTAAAAGAAGTTGACCTTGTTCTTTACATAGTCAAATCCTAAACTCCCTTGAAGAGCATGCTGGATTCTCCTTACTTTGAAAAAGTTAACTCACCTTTGATTTGGAAATATACAAATGCCCAGTTATTTTTAGGATATTCATTAATTCCTTCATTTCCCTATCAAGGTGCCGATGCTACTAAGGATGATGGTATCTATTCAAGATATTTTACAGCTTATGATACAAATGGTAGATACAGTGTAAAAGTGCGGGCTCTGGGAGGAGTGAACGCAGCTAGACGGAGAGTTACGGCCCAGCAGAATGGAGCCATGTACATACCTGGCTGGATTGAGAATGGTAAGCAATCTGTAATGACACACCTGACTTGAGTAAAAGGCTTGTGATCAAGAGGAAACCGTTAAACCTGTGGGGAGAATGGTGCAGGATTAAATTAGGGTTTCTCAGCCTTGGCACTATTGTTCTTTTGGGCCACATAATTGTTTGTTGTGGGGGGTTGTCCTGTGCTTTGTAGGATGTTTAGCAGCATTCCTGGCCTCTACTCACTAGAAAACAAAAACAACTCTCACAGTCATAACAATCAGAAATGTCTCCATACAAAACCCACTGTCCCCTGGGGGCAAAATATCCCCCAGTTGAAGACACTAGGTTGAATGTATTTGTTGACTGCCTCAGTTCAAATTCCAGCCCTCTATCAAGTCAATTATTTTAGTTAAATTCTTTTTCTTCATTTTCCTCAGTTGTAAAATAGGGATATTAATGGTTACTACCATATAGAATGGTTATAAGGAATAAACAAGGAACTATATATCTAATAAGCTATTGCCGGTAAACAGTAAGTATTCAATAAATGCTTATTATATCTAATAAATTTAAAAATATTTTGTAATGAAGCTCTTTCCACTGATATAGGCATTCCCAAAGAATAAAAATAATAATAACAATTTAAGGCTTGTTATTTATATCAATGTTTTCATAAGCCCACCTTCTCCCTTCCTTCCTCTCTTCTGCACAGACCAGGAAGAATAGTAGGTGAATGTATGCTTCTCGGCACTTGGATGTATGCTTAGGAAAGGGAGTATCCTGAGACATGTGGTGTCTCCTCATGCAAATATGATCATAGGAAAAAATGCTTTAAAAGATACCACTGCTTGAAAAGCTCTGTCTAAAATTGTAGCTTATTTTATTCTCATGTGTCCTTTTTTTTGTCTTAGGAGAAGGCAAGAGGGGACTGATTTAGTGGCTGTATCTGGCCTATGCTCAGTGTCTTAATTACATTATTACATTTCATTCTCCTAATTATCCCATTTTACAGATAGAGAAACAGGCTATAGAAATTATTGATTCACATAACTAGTAGTAATAGCACCAGGCTTGGCACTGGGAAGCCATGTTCTTCCCTCTATACCTTGATGAACCTTAATAACAAGAGAGATGGTCTCTACTGGTGAATCCAATACTAACCCTTCACCTGCTGAGGTACCTACTTCATGTTTGCCCAAGCCCAGATTCATGGGTAATTTTTAAGGGCTAAAAAAGTAGAGTTTATGAGAAAGTGAATTTGCTACAAGAACTAGGTTTCCATACATTCATTGAGAAAATCAGAAGTCATTCAAAAGCATCAAATTTTAGAATCCCTAACACAGAACATTTCATGCACAGAACAAATAATCAAGGCAATTCTTAAAGGTCCAGGTGATTAATTACCAAATAAATAGAAAAGATAATGGAACCCACAGTATTGTTTAGATCAGCCGTGGGCAAACTACGGCCCACGGGGTGGATCCAGCCCCTTTGAAATGAATAAAACTATTAAAAAAAAAAGACTGTACCCTTTTATGTAATGATGTTTACTTTGAATTTATATTAGTTCACACAAACACTCCATACATGCTTTTGTTCCGGCCCTCCGGTCCAGTTTAAGAACCCATTGTGGCCCTCAAGTCAAAAAGTTTGCCCACCCCTGGTTTAGGTGGAAGAGACTTCTTAAGGGAATCTGAGGAGGTTTAAAAAAGAAGTAGTATTTATACTGCCTGTGGAAGGGTACGATCAGGATAGGCTAAAAGTTGTAAAAAGAAACAATTCCAGGACAAATGTCATGAAAATAAATTATGAAAGTCATTCCACTAAATATCTGTGAGATAAAGAACTGGGATTCTCTCTTTGCTTCTTCCTCTCTGATCTGGGATCTTTACACCAAATAATTAAAATGAATTTTGTGTGCGGGAGAAAAGAAGGGGAAGGGTAAAGTCGGAAGAGGTTAAGCCAATAACAAAACAGAGGAAAGTGTAGCCAGTTTGTGCAGCTTACCATGTACTGAGGAATATTTTAATGCAGGCGAAGTAAAATGGAATCCACCAAGACCTGAAATTAGTAAGAATGATCTTCAAGGCAAGCAAGTGTGTTTCAGCAGAACATCTTCAGGAGGTTCTTTTGTGGCCTCCAATGTCCCAAAGGCTCCCATACCTGATCTCTTTCCACCTTGCCAAATCACTGACCTGACCGCAAAACTCCAAGGGGACAATCACATCAATCTGACATGGACAGCTCCTGGGGATGATTATGATTACGGGAGAGGTAAGCTGAATGCGGTGTGGACCCTGTGAAGGAGTTTAGCAGCCCAGCAGAGGTGCAGAAGGGAGTGAGGCAGGCAGGTGTTCTGTGATGCAAGTGGAAGACAGGGGGCAGGAAGGATTTTGATTGTTCTCTGAGATTAACGGGGGTGGGTCAAGGGCAAAATGGGGAAAGCGGCTCTAATATATGATAAATAATGGAAATTAGACTTTTGGTGGCGAGCATACAACAGAGTATACAGGTGGAGAATTATAATGCTGTACATCTGAAATTTGTATAATATTATTAACCAATGTTACCTCAATTTAAAAAATTTATTTAAACAAAGATTTAAAAATGGGAGGTTTAGAATCTGAAGAGCTGGCCTACTTTAGGTGTCAGAGGTTTCAACCAGGAAAAGGCTATCTTCAGTTTTTTCCTGAAATCTTGCCAAAGTGCCCTTTAATAAGCCCCATGATTAGTAATGACTCCTCGAGAGGATTGAGAATAAAGCACAGATATCTATGGAGCAGAGCTCTCCTTTGGAAGAAGCCTGCCAAGGCATCGTTTTCAAGGCTGCAGCCTGGGCATCACACGAATCCTTGTTAGACACTGTACAATTTCACCCCCAACCGAACTAGAATCTGCACTTCAAGATCTGTATGCACATTAGAGTTTAAGAAGCACTGGTACCAAAAACTCCTGTAGAAATAATAAAATAATAATCAAACAACCTCCTGTCTTGGCCAGGTACTATGCTCTAAAAGACTGACTAAACCTGACCCAGCTTACATTTATTACTCTGTCGAGATACATAGACAAGAATGTAAAAAGATACTACTGCTTGTAAAAATGAAGCATCAATTGCATTTACCCATTGGAACTTTATGGGATGGCGATATAAAGTTTCTAATAGCCTTTTAAAATTTGAGAATTGCAAGTTATGTCTTTTTTTTTTTTTTTTTTTTTTTTTTAGCTTACAAGTATATCATTGGAATAAGCACAAGTATTCTTGATCTCAGAGACAAGTTCAATGAATCGGTTCAAGTGAACACTACTAATCTCATTCCAAAGGAGGCCAACTCTGAGGAAGTCTTTGTGTTTAAACCAGAAAGCATCCCTTTTGAAAATGGCACAGATCTCTTCATTGCTGTTCAAGCTGTTGATAAGGTCAACCTGATGTCAGAAATCTCCAACATTGCACGAGTATCTTTGTTTATTCCCCCACAGACTCCTCCTGAGACACCTAGTCCTTCCCTTCCTTGTCCTGAAATTAATGTCAACAGCACCATTCCTGGCATTCACATTTTAAAAATTATGTGGAAGTGGCTGGGAGAATTGCAGCTGTCAGTAGCCTTGGGTTGAGTTTTCATGAGGTAAATAAAGCATCCATCCTTTGGATCATAAAAGTTTCTAAAGTGTATTTTAGACTTCCTGCAGGGGATGAGTTAATGAAATAAAAGGCTAAACAACTGGATATGTATGTATAAAAACTATCCATTCACATCCAAAGGTTTAATCATCACTTTGAATACTAGAAAGGAATGCTTACATTAATAAATAAAAGTAAGTTTTAATTCATTTTAAGGAGTGTTGCCAGTTAAAAAGAACAAGTAATTACATATGAAAGATGCTATAAATGTCCAACTAGATCAGTCAGTGACGGCCAACCTATGACATGCGTGTCAGAGGTGACATGCAAACTCATTTTTTTGGTTGATTTTTCTTTGTTAAATGGCATTTAAATATATAAAATAAATATCAAAAATATAAGTCTTTGTCTTACTATGGTTGCAAATATCAAAACATTTCTATATGTGACACGGCACCAGAGTTAAGTTAGGGTTTTTCAAAATGCTGACACGCCGAGCTCAAAAGGTTCGCCATCACTGAACTAGATCAAACTATCTTATATAATAAAAGGCTAATATGGAAATTGTCCCCTCGGGAGTTTGACCGACCAGGAGTTCAACTGCTCACTATGACATGTGTTGACCACCAGGGGGCGGTGTGGAACAAAGGAAGGCCCCGACCGGCAGCTGGCAGCTGGCAGCTGGCAGTCGGGAGAAGGAAGGCCCTGGCCTGCAACCGGCAGCTGGGGGAAAACCCTGATTGGCCCTGATCACCAGCCAGGCCTAGGGACCCTACCTGTGCATGAATTTTGTGCACTGGGTCTCTAGTTTAAATATATGTCATAGCTTGTTATAGAGAAAATTTGAACCAACATCATCAGGAATATGTATTATTTTCTCTGGGTTTGAGCAATTATGATGCATTTAAGGAAGAGACTACATGTAGAAAGAACAGCATTTATATTCCATAGGCATAGAAATGTATTTTATGTGCATAAAATTATGAATCATTGGTGATTAAAGTCACAGTGGTGGGAGATAAGGTGGGAAAAGTAGGTTCCTGTAAAGTGTGAAGGGAAAGAGATTGAGTAGTAAACTTTTTTTGTGCCAAGGGCTCTACTAATGCCTTACATGTATTATGTTATGTAATACAATTCAGTCCATTCAACATTCATCAGCTGCCTATTATATTCCAGGCCTATGCTAGGTCTTGAATACAAAAAGATGAGTGAAATCTGGCCTTTTTCCTATAGGCAATAAAAAACATTTGACAATTTTAACTTTAAATCAGGGGGCATATATAATCAGAACTATGCTTGGAAAGGGGGACTTTGAGGACCACATGAAGGACTGACAAAGGTGGGAGAGTCTAGGAGCGTGATAGACAGAGGAGGAAAGAGAAGAAAAGGAAAAAGGAGCCAAACAGACTTAGCAGTATAGTAGTCCCCATCAAGAACTAATCACAGACACTAGTGTCTCCAACAAAAAGTATTCAGATGAAAGACTTTTTAAATTCTCCATTTTAGCCTGGCCAGTGTAGCTTTCAGTGGCTGAGCTTCAACCCATGCACCAAGAGGTCACCAGTTCGACTGCCAGTCAGGGCATGTTCCTGGATTTCAGGCTCGATCCCCAGTAGGGGGGGTGCAGGAGGCAGCCAATTTGTGAAAAGCCACATCCCACGTGGCTTAGGGTTCAGGATCTTGAGAAGGGCTGCATGCAAATTATGAGACTAGATAAGAAATATGAATTTGGAAACAGGGGCCAGGCGGAGAGTCTTTCTGAAGAAGAAAGACTTTGCTGGTGTCCAGGACCTGCCAACCTTCCATTCAATTCTAGATACACATATTGCCCTTAGTCAGGCAGGCAATTCCAGTAGCAGACAGACTATCTTAAAGGTCAGTATATATTAGTAAAGATTTACTTTGAGACTGTTTGGTCAGGAAATTGATTGAGCCACCATTGTCTTGACTAAACAATCAGTGCATAGCTTTGGCCCTTGCCAGAGCTCAAGTTCCACCAGCATTCTGGGTTCCTTGTTTACACTTTCCTGATAGCATAGACAATGGGTAGCTTCCAACACCAATTGATGTTTCTGTCTCACTCCCTACCCTTTCCTCTCTCTCTAAAACTCAATAAAAACATATACTTTAAAAAATTTTTCCATTTCATTAGCATAATGAGCTGAAGCTGTGGGTGACTCTCTGATTAAAAACAAAATAGACGATTGTTTCTGCATATACCCCAATTTTATTTATTTATATATCTTCCTTGTTTCCAAACAGAACTTGAGGTACTTTACAGATACATACAAAACATAAAAAATTATTTAAAAAGGAAGTGGAGTGAAGTAAATATATAATGAAAACTAAAGGAAGGTTCAGCACATTCAGGCCTAATATAATGTTCTGTACAATTGCTACAGCTTTGTCACACATTTCATTTTGAGCTTCCCAGCTGGCATAACAAAGGAGACAAAAAGAGTAACAAGATTAATTACAACGAAAAACAAACCTGAGGCTCAGGAGAATGGCTTTTTCTAGTAGAGACCCATGAGAAGTTTCATCTATAGATCCTCAATACATTAGGGTACTGTGATGTTAAAGACAGTAGTCTGAGCAACATCCAGACAATACTCACAACAAGTGGAATATAGCACACTGATCACAAAATCCTTCACCGTAACCACATTTCACTGCAGGGTTACAATGGAGTGACACCCCAGCACTGTTCAAAAAAGACAGTTATAAAGGGGTTCAAACAATGCAATTCTAGCAAGTAGCTCTTAAGTTTGCTCCAAAGATAAAATTTGTAGTGAGTGGATTACATATACTTCAGGCCATTTTCTATGACTAGTTTTGTTTTTTTAAAATGTATATATCTATATATATATATATAAAGGGCTAAGCAACCAGCTGACCAGCCAACCAGCTAGTAGGAATGACACACACTGACCACCAGGGGGCAGATGCTCAATGCAGGAGCTGCCGAGGGACAGCAACTTTGCAGAGTGCCCTCTTGTGCTCCAGGACCTCTTGGTGGATGTCGGACTGCCAGTTTCGGCCCAATCCCCTCAGGCCAGGCCAAGGGACCCCACCTGCTGGAGGGACCCTGCTCACTTTACAGATGCCCTTCAAGCTCCAGCACTGCCCCAGGTGTGGCTGGACAGGGAGGGACTGAGGAAGGTTGGCTCCAGGGCATGTCTGGCCTGTATCACCCAGTCCCGCCCCACTGGCCACCTTCTAATTAATTTCCTTTCAATGTGCATGAATCTGTGCACCAGGCCTCTACTCGTATCTAATAAAAGAGAAACATGCAAATTGACCATATCTCCGCTACACTCACAAGCCACGCCTACCAGCCAATCAGAGAGACTATAGGCAAATTAACCAAACCAAGATGTTGGCTAAGATGGCCATCCGCAGCCACGGAGCTGGAGCAAGCAGGAGGAATTTCTGGTCACTATGATACACACTGACCACCAAGGGCAGACACTCAATGCAGGAGCTGCCCCCTGGTGGTCAGTGTGCTCCCACAGGGGGAGCTCTGCTCAGCCACAAGCCAAGCTGACAGCTGCCAGTACAGTGGTGGTGGTGGGAGCCTCTCCTGCCTCCTCAGCAGCGCTAAGGATGTCCGACTGCAGCTTAGGCCTGCTCCCCACTGGCAAGCGGGCATCCCCCGAGGGCTCCTGGGCTGCCAGAAGGATGTCTGACTGCCAGCTTAGGCCTGATCCCTAGGGGATCGGGCCTAATCCAGCAGGTTGACATCCCCCAAGGGGTCTCAGACTGCGAGAGGGCACAGGCTGGGCTGAGGGACCCCCCCCCCCACCAAGTGCACAAATTTTTGTGCACCGGGCCTCTAGTTTATTATAATAATGGAACACCAGAGAGTTCTGAGGCTAGGAAGACACTGATATCCTAAAATGCAGTATTGTTTGTTGTGGGCACATCCAAGTGGTTTGCCAACAAATGGACAGAGGGTCAGATTAAAACCTTCTTCTGAAAGTTATGAAACCAAACTAGAAGCACATGCCTGACTAGGGAACCATTCGCCTGCCCATTTGGATAAATGAGTCTGAGGCTCCAAACTCAGCCCCATGAATATGGCTGACATGAGTTTTGCCTTGAAAATTCCTAAGTCAGAGAGAAGGCAGGGGAGGGTGGGTGGGTGGGAGGTAATCAACCAAAGACCTTGTATAATAATCTATGGACATAATTAGGTGGTGAAAGCCTGGGGGAAGGGGAGGGGCCAGGCTAAAAGGGGTTAATGGGGGGGAAAGGGGACATATGCAATACTTTCAAAAATAAAGATTTTGAAAATAATAAAATAAAATTTCTAAGTCACTAATTAAGATTTTTAATTTCCATTTGGGTAAACTCAGTGGAATGTACCTTGGGATATCATGAGGAACTGCACGGGGATATATAACGTTACTTCAGAGAAATGAGGTAAATGTCAGTATACAAATAAGACAGAAAGTAAATAACAGAAAAGGAAACATTCTTATGTACTCTGGGTTAAAGGCCAGCTTATTGCAAAGTGAAAACTGGGTTGTTACATATCTTACCTAATAATATACAAACATGCAAATTGACCAGCCTGTGTACTTTTGCTATGCCTTAAGCCATGCCCACCAGCCAATCAGAGCGACTATATGCAAATCAACCCAACCAAGATGGCGGACGGTAGCCATGGAGCTGGAGCGAGCAGGAGGCTTGCTTGCTCCAGTGATGGAGGAAGCCAGCCTGCCGTGGGCTCTGAGCTCTACTCAAAAGCAACAAAGTTTCAATTATAGAAGGTAAATAAACCCCAGATACCTGCTTCCAGTCACCATGGCCACGGAGCTGGAGCGAATAAAAAAAAAAAAAAAAAAAAAAAAAAGGAAAGGCTGGGAGCTTCAGTCGCCAGGGGGCTTGGTCAGCCTGAAAACAGCCCTCAGTGCCTCACCCAGGCTGGCCAGGCACCCCAGTGGGGACCCCCACCCTGAAGGGGGTTTGGGCAGCCGGAAAACAGCCATCAGCCCCTCACCCAGGCTGGCCAGGCACCCCAGTGGGGACCCT